GGTGCCTTTGGTGCCTGCGTCTGGGGTTCGGAGTTTGGGAGTTCACCTGGACTCTGCCTTAACGATGGAGACCCAGGTGGCAGCCACTGTCAAGTCCGCCTTTTTCCATCTTCGGCGGGCTCGGCAGTTGGCCCCCTACCTGGACCGTGATGATCTGGCCACAGTGATCCATGCGACGGTCACCTCGAGGCTAGACCACTGCAACGCTCTCTACATGGGGCTGCCTTTGTCGCAAACCCGGAGGCTGCAACTGGTGCAGAATGCTGCGGCCAGGCTGTTAATGGGTCTCTCTAGAAGGGACCATATTCAGCCTGTGCTGAAAGCGCTGCACTGGTTGCCAGTAGTGTACCGGATTCACTTCAAAGTGCTGGTTCTTACCTATAAAGCCCTATATGGTCTGGGTCCAGCCTACCTGAGGGACCGCCTTTCCCCGTATGTTCCCCCAAGAGCTCTACGGTCTGGGGCCCAAAATCTTCTAACTGTACCGGGCCCCAAGGATGCTAAATTGGCCGTCACAAGGGCTAGGGCCTTCTCAGTGGCGGCCCCCACCTGGTGGAATGAGCTCCCGGAGGAGATCCGGGCCCTGCGGGACCTGATGCAGTTCCGCAAGTCCTGCAAGACGGAGCTCTTCCACCAGGCTTTCGATTAGGGGCCGCCGCCCCCCGACTATATTACCATCATTGGGGGGGGTAGGGCCCTAGGAGGGCGGGAAGAAACACCTGATTAACATTATGGAATGCCTACCGGGGATGTTCGGTTGTGAATGTGGTTGTCCTCTCTGAGATTCCGAAATGGACGATGTGTAGTTTGAGCACTTTAATGTTTGAGTGGGTTTTTTAAATTGTATATTATGTTTTTTAAATGTACTAAACTATTTGATATTTTTATTAGCAAGTTTTTCCTGCCATGTAAGCCCCCCTGAGCCCTACGGGGGAGGGCGGGGTATAAATTTAATAATAAATAAAATAAAAAATAAATAAATTCCTCTTTATTCTCCACAGCAGAACATCCCTGGCTCATTCACGTTCCCCAGAGGTGTGGTTCATCTCTTGTCCTACTCCTTTCCGCCTCTTGAGCCAGCCCCTTTCATGATTGTAACAAAGCTGACCTCTCCCCCCCTCCCCAATCTTCCGCTTCTGGTTTGGCCCTTTTGTATCCCTTTAATCCAAGGACTCTGCAGCGGCTCACCTCGGAAGCATAACCAACCTAAGCAGAAAACACAATTTCCTTTCATACCTGAACTTGATAAGCTTTTATGGCTCACCACTAAATTAGTGATAATAATGGAAGTGGAGAAGCAGCTGCACTCAGTTTTAATGAGAATTAGCACTGTTAGTAGATAAGTTACCTGGAGTTTAGGAAAATAACTGGGCTTTGTGTTTTCTGAAGCTTGTTTGTCACAATGACAAACACAAAGTGTTTTTCTTTGGCATCTGTTGAGGTCTCTTTTCCTCCACCCAGCTGGACTTTGCAGGGCTGGCAGTGGTAACGCATCTTTAGATTTGGGGGGATATTTAAAAACACAGACACACACACAAAGCAGTAGATGTTGGTAACTCCACCTCTCACTTCATTGCACAGAGCAGACAGTATCTCAGATCACTGACTTTTCAGATCGCTGACTTTTCCAACTGAACATAAAGAAGCCCTGTGTTACTCTCTGAGCTTTGGAGAAAGGTCCCATTCATTGCCTCAGTCCATAGGTGTGTTCTGCACTGCTTTATTGCTATTCCCTTTGCCTCCAAGGGCACTGACAGTATCACATCTCTCCTGATGCTTGTTCCTGTTTTGCCAGCATAAGAGACCTTTATGTGTGTGTTACATTTCTGGAAACAGAAAAATCTAGTACTACCAAGCACATGATATGTATATGGGTGTCTTCAGGCCTCATCACCGTCACTTAATAGTCCTTCCCATCAGTATCAGCTGCATTTAGCAGCCATCTTTCTTGAATGCACTGGGAAGCCAGATACTGCCTCACTGCCCTTCTGTGTGATTCTGTAATTTTTGCCATTAAAACATACTCCTGCAGGTTGTGTCTGTACTCTCCCCTGTCTTCCGTTCGTTGGCTGAGGATGTGATAAGACTGGTTTTATCGCAGACCTGACTCAGAAACATTCTCCAGTGGTTGCAGCGACCTCTGTAATCTACGCGGGGGCTGGGGGGCTGGGGAGCTGGCGCCCTCCCCAAAATTTTGCATAGGGTACTGAGCCTCCCCCAGGGGCAACCAGAGCCTTGCCACCCATCCCCCATGCCCCCACCCCATTTTGAAAGTGGAGGGTTTTTCCCCTCCACTTTCTGTCAGATGGGTTGAGACTTGGAGGGAAGTCAGGGCGGGGGCTTGCTTCCTAGAAGCTAAGCCCCACCCCCCATCTCCCAGCAGCCCTCAGTTCAGCCTGGAGGAGCTGGAGCCTGGAGGCTGCACGTGGCTTCACCTTCGCTGTTTTCCCACCACGCAGACTGCAGAGTAAAGTAAGGACTGGAGCTGGCTGGGGCAGCAAGGTTGGGGGGGGTGTTTTCAGGGGTGGGCAGCCATGTGGGGGGATTGGGTGGGGTGGGGGATGAAGCACCGGTTAGATTTTTGCCTTTCCAAAGGCGCAGGAGCTCTCCCCCAGCCCATTTCGGGACTGCAATGAGAAGCCGGCCCCCAGCAAGTGCTCCTAGATGGCCGAGGGGGTGATTGGGCCCTGATTTGTTATGGATCTCTCCCCCCCCCATTGGAGCAAGGCCCAGGGGGTCCCAATGCAGCCCTCCCTCTCTGCATCCTGCCAGCCAGGGACCTAGGTGCTCCATCCGTCCCTTCGGTCAGGCCTCCCTTGCTCCACTGGTGAATCACAGCCAGCTTCCCTTTCTCAACTAGTCCTTGCTGGCTGCTGCAGTTGC